CAGCCTTGGCATTCCAGTTATACTTGGTGTGTGTTGCAGGGGAGGGGTAAGATACTGGTGAATGAACCCATGGCTTTCACACTGAGCTGTATCTCAAGCTCTTTTTATTTTTTGAGGCAGAGTCTTGGTAAGTTACTAAGTTGCCCAGACTAGGCTCAAATTTGCAATCCACTGCCTCAGTCTTTCAGAGCACTGGGACTACACATGTGCACCACCACACCCCTGATACTTTCACTGATACTTTCACTGATACTTTCTCTTTTGCTTGGCAGGGCACTCACACGTGCCACAGGTGGACTTCTGAAGTAACAAGCTTCAGAGCGACAGGAGTGGCGCAACACTGATGTTCCCTTTTTCATCTTGCTTCTGCCACAGAGACCAAAGAGCTGGAACAAAAAAATTTGTAAAGGCACTCCCTACATACTAAAAGCAAAATGGAACAAATGAACCTAACTGTACACTGAGATGGTATGCCACACTAAGAATTATTTCAGAAGATTTAAAAACAGCCCTTCTACAGTACCTTTCTAGAGTAGGATATACCCTAAAGACAGAAAAATTAATTGTAAAAATCTTAAACTAGTTTCAGCAATCATATGGTTCATTGATAGTTTTTGTTTAGTTGCTTAAAGATTATTATTTATTCTTCTTTTACTGGACAAACTGTGCCTCACAATTACCAAATGAGTCTTTAGGGAAATTTCCTTTTTGTAGCTACCAAGTGAAGAAGGAATGAAAGAATTAAAATACAACCATTCTGCAATCACAGATTATAAAATAATGGGTCTGCAAAAATAATCATCACTGGATGTGCACATCCAAGAGATGATCAGAGCTTTGTTGTGCTATGGAGCATTATTACCAAAATGGAAAAAAAGAATTTTTTATTACCAAAAAGAAATGCAAATGGCTCTTAAACATATGAAACGATGTTCTCTCATAAGAGACATGGAGTTAAAACTGCACTGAGCTACCATTTCTTACTGATCAAACTGGCAAAAAAGAAAGAGACAAATAGGGAACCTATAATTTAAAGAAATTTAAGAGCCATAATGACTATTGCCACAGATGGACCTTATCTGAATTCTGATTTTTCTTTCTTTTTTGGTGGTGCTGAGAATTGAACCCAGGTCTTATGAATACTAGGCAAATGCTCTACCACTGAGATACATCCCCATCCCTATTTCTTTTTCTCTTATAAATTCTGATTTTAACCACCTATAACACACAAACTCGCACTCTAGACTTTGAAACAATTAGGGAAATTTCCACCCTGATTGGGTATTTAATACTCTTCAGGAATTACTGTTTGATTTTAGGAAATGATGATGGTATTACTATGGATTCAAAACGAAGGCTTTACTTTTAGGGCTACACAATAATATTTTTATGGATGAAGTAAGATGTCTTGAATTGGCTTCAAAATAATCTGATGGGGAAGAAGGAGCACACAGATAAAAGTGGGTGGGTTGTGAGATGACAGTTCTTGAAGGCAGTGATGGGGAACTATTCTATGTGTATATCTAGTAAGACTTTCAAAGACGTGAAGGTGCACATGAGATTAAATAAAAAGGAAGATCTGCCAAACAGCATGAAAAAGTAGGGCTTGGCAAACCCTATACATGTATCACAAAGTGCAGAGGCAAGACAAACAAATGCACGGTTTGGGAGGCTGACAGCCTATAAAACAATAGCTGCTTCTGCTCTAATCACTCCTTCCACACCTCATTGGTAAGACAAGGTTTCCTCCAAATGCCTCCTAACCCCGAGGAGACAAGCCCAAGCCTCTCCAAGGACAGCACACTTTTTGGCAAAATCCACAAGAAGCCAGCAAATGAGCAGTGGCTGTAGTGTGGCAGCAGCAAAGGTGGGTGTGTGGCTGAGCTGGGGCCTGTTGCCAAGGAGATATGAACCCGGAGGCCTTCAGAGCTTCCCTGCGAATCTGTACAAGTGAGGCAGCATGAGGTGACATGCTGTCACCAACAATGGCAAAGAAATCCTTTGGTGGGAACAGACTAAAATTTCACATAGTTGATGCAGTTGCTTTTACTTATGCTATTTCCTGTCATCATTGAGCTAAATTTTAAGCAGTAACATTAAAATCTGATTTTAAAGAACACAAATATTTCATTAGAGGAGCCTGAACTATGAAAGGAAGATCAGAAACAAAGTCTGAAACCAGAAACATAAAATTAGGCTTTGATTCTCTGCTATTTATTCTTGACATTATTTTAGTTCTACCTTTTTTTTCCAGCCATGAAAATCCAGAGTTTATGTTCATGGTTCTCAAGGCAAATGTACACATTTCATAGGATATAAGGAGTGAGAAACAGGAAACTACAACTTAAAAATAACCTTGAGCTGGGTCTGGCAGCTTGCGCCTGCAGTCCCAGCTATTTGGGGGGCGGAGGCCGAAAGATCAACTGGAGTCGGAGAGTCAGAGCCTCGCCTGGAAGCACAGTGAGGTGCTGTCCCACAACGGACTACCAGTAATAACCACAGCAGTAAGTCTACGTGAATCTGACATCACTATGCCCTCACCAAAGGACCGTTCCATTCTGGGGTCCCTGTAAGGTGGCTGAGGTCTGTGTGCTGCTAAAATGTACCTGAGATAATCAACATGGAAAACTGGCCATTATTATTCTAAAACTGCTGTAAGCTAAGCACAGCTGCAATGTCAGACAGAGGATAATGAGATCCTCCTGTCCTCCTGCATGCTCATACCACCTCCTAGCCTGCTGGCATGGGCAGCTCTGAGCTGTGAAGTGGGTCCCAAAGAGGGCTGGGGGGGCCCACTGCAGGCCATCTGCTGGCAAGTGCGCACACATAGCTACCTACCCACACCACTGGGCCCACCTGGTTGAGGGACAATGACAGGCAGATGACTGCAATGTTCTTTACAGTCGAGCTTGTGAGCATCATACAAAAATGTTTGCAGAAAAGTGCTCAATCACCAAAAAACACCAAAACCAAAAGCACTTCTCCCATCTCTGCAAACTTCTTTCATTGTTTGACACACCTGAGACTATTATGGCTTCTAGCGCTAATGACGCTGACTTGTTTCAACAAGCATAAAACACACAGGCTGACAACAGCCTTCCTCACTGCAACTCGTACCGAGTTCCATTCTTGTAATGGCCTCTCACACCACCTGGGCCTGTTTCTCTCATAAATACATGCGCTCACTTTTCTTCCTCCAATAAAAAGAGGCATTTTCTATGTACCATGTTGAAAAAATGCAGTACATGGGCCTGAAATGAGTAGCCTAGTGCTACACATCTTATGAAAAGGAAGGATGTTTCTTGCGGGGGGTGGGGGACTGTGTATAGAAGCCAGGGCCTTCCCATTGAGCAACATCCCAAATCCCTTTTTAACTGTTAGGGTCTCCCTAAGTCACTAAGGTGCCCAGGCTGGGCTCAAAGTTGTGATTTTCCTGCCATGGCTCCCAGAGTGCTGGGATTACAGGCAAGAACCACCATGCCTGGCTCAGGATCTTGGATTCTAAGCTCCTTGTCAGTAATAACTCTCCTGACTGCATAATCATATACACAGTGAAGCCTATGGTCTGCAGAAGAACCTGAGTAGCAGAAAAATGATGGCCCACCCCACTGCTCTCTACTGCCACAAATCTATACAGAACTAGAACAAGGTAATACCGTTTAGTGCTTCCAACTTGTTAACTTTCAAATTACTTAAAGAAACGAAAATCAAAATTTACATGTAATGTTAAAGATTACATCAAGCAAAGTTAAAACCAAAACAATTATTTTAAATTGTCCTCTAAAAGCTCTCTACACGCTGGAAAAACTTGTACACCTGCCACTTTATTAATATTACTCTCCAAAACTTCCATAAGGAACAGATTATGATTAGCACACAGTAGGTAGTAGGACTATTTAGGCTATGACTTCAAAGAATTAGCTAGTCTTTTTTGTTGTATTCACCTTTCTCATTCTATCACTATCATACTTTTAGGACATGTGTCAGTAAGGACACCTGTACTACATGGACAGTACTTAAGGACAAGAGAACCGAGTTCCTCTGTAAAGGCCCAGGATTCTATTTTAGGTATACAAGGTAGGGGCATCTTGTCCCCTCCATCTGAACATATGGAGTCACTCTTCAAAGCAAGCAACAGTAAAGGCACAGATTCAAGGACCTCATTAGCTTAACTATGATCTTTGCAGGTCAGGAGTTAAAAGGTGGAGTATGACCACCACCGCCAACCCAAAAAAGGAGTAAATAGTTTGGAAAAAGCCAATTATGATATCTTGAACATCAAGACCTGAGATGGATTTCATACAATGCCTAGCTAAGCACTGCCACACCCAAACCCAAAGCAAACACAACAGAAAACTAATCCAAGCAAACAACTACTCCAAGATTGAAAATACCCTTTGGAAAGATCAGCCAGACAGCATTTCCTATCAACTAACTTGAGTTTTACAATGATAATTCAATCACTCTGGTCTTATTTAAGTTATAGACAGGTGCTTTCTTGAGGTATACTTGGGTAAGCAGGACAAATATGGACTGATATATTCCTGAAAAGAAAACAGTTCCACAATTCAGCATACCATGCACAGGAGATCAAGAGCCAATATACCTCCACAGCCTTGGAAAGCGTGAGTATCCGATCAACATCAGACTTCCTACACAGTCTCACCTACCGTGATGGGTAGAAAAGCTTTTGGTATGAAATGCTCTGAAGGCTTTGCCTAGCTAACAAGAGCATCCCTTACCTTGCAAATCTCAATAGATCACTACAAATAGTTTCAATTCGTAACTATTAGTACAATCTTTATATTCTTTTAAGTTTACTGGAATTATTATTTTAACTATTTCTAAAAACATAAGCCATCTCCTCTGTCACTCACCCATAACATTCAAATCAACTGGAGCCCTTAGAGCTGATCAAGATGAATTAATAAAATAACAAAATATCTGAAGACAGACTATCTAAGTAGGTATATATACCAACATGTAATTGTAATACTTACCTATCAGTCCCTTCTCCAAGGTGAAGATTTTGTTTGTAAACATGCATTCAAAAGCCACAATGTGAAAAATCTTGTTCACTGTGTTGTGAGTCCCAACTATTCGAATATACCTGAGGGCAAAAGGAAAAGAAAATCCACTGGAAATGAGCTCCATCACAACCAATCCAAGGATGAAGAACACCCTTTAAAAGTACAGTGCACGAGAACATGGAATAAAGGAGACCTTGAACTTGACTTCAGACTGGGTTATGTGTTTTTAGGCTGGCTCCAAATGAGCTTAGAAGAATCACAGCAAAATCAGGGAGGTATCATTCCCCAGAGAATTCAGTAAAACTCAGATTTAAATTCACCTAGAAAATCACACCAGGTACTTTTCCGTTAATCCTTGAATGTCAGCACAGCCCCTGTCCATGAAGCATTTACACTGGAGAATAACCGCGTCTGCCCTCACTCATGGTTAGACATGTACCTGTGCACATGCACACAAACACATACAGAATCAAATGCTTCCCAACTCAATGAAAGACCTTGCCCATTGGAGCCAAGGGCACAAATCAATACTGCTTTCCTCTTTAAAAGGAGAAATCCACAGAAACTACTGAAAAGCACCCACAGTGTCTTTTGTTTTGATACTGTTCCCAAACCCTCGTTAGGAAGTTAACCCCACATACTTACGCCAGCCCCGTGCTCCTGCCTGCCTGCCGGGAAGTGTCCTCACCAAAGGAAGAGATCTGCAGAGATAAGCCAGCCTGCCCTGCGCCTCCCTCCTGGCTACCCGGACCTGGCATCTGCACACAGTGCGGAGTTTCACCAGGCAGGTCTTGAGCATCTTGACCTGTTCCTACTCTCCCTGGAGGCTTCATCTCCGACAAACAAGCCTTAACCTTCACACGACTCACTCCCCTAGCTCTCCGAAGGGACCGACAGTATGCAGGTGGATGAACAAACTGACTCTTCCGAGTGCCACACAATCCCATGGGGAATGTGCCACACACTGTCTTTTGGAATGCAAAGGCAGAATCAAGAAAAATAACTAGATGAACTGATAATGTGCTTCCAAATTATGAACTATGCACTCTGAAGGACAGGGCAGATTAAACGAACAGATTGCAATTAGGACATGACAGACCGGCAAGGTTTTAGTAATATCCCTCTTCTGCGTGTAAAACAACTTCTGATTTAGACGTGATATAATTTTAGTTCTGAGTTAATCGCCGTTCACTAATTTGGTAATTTTCTTGTATTTCTCATCACTCTGAGTTAACTGTACAATGTAAAAGTCGATTTTTAAAATTCACATTAAGGAGACTATACTTAGGGTTTCTGCACCGTGGGCTATTTTCCCTCCTCTTCTTCAAGCCTGAGTCTCATGGCATTCCCTGTGCACCTCCTTTAGCCGCCTGTTCCTGCCATGAGCTGATCGCTCACCCTCAGAACCAGTACTGATGCCGTCTCCTGGACTGGCTGCTCCGAGTGCTCAAACTCACTGCGGTGAGACAGCTCTTCTGTGCGGAGAACCAGGGCTAAGGTCACTCCCACCAAAGCCCCTGGTTAGGCAGGAGGTTGGCCCTGATCTCTTCGGCCCTCAAGGCAAACAGAAAGCTGCTGATTTTGTGTGGGTTCATTCAAAAGTGAGCTCTTGATGGTCTATGTAGTACAGACTGTGTTGTCTCTTACTGGCGGCAACGACAGTCTCCCTAGTGCCTTCAGGAAGGGAAGGGGTGTATTAAACCTGGCACCTTGGCCCAAATCTAATTTTGTCCATTTCCTTAAACCACAGGAACTCAACCAGCATAGCATTTTCAACCGCACGCGGCCGTGCCAACCTGAGAGCTGCCGTCTGCAACCTTGGCGGGAACGTGGTTTGGTGGAATTTGATCAGACTGCTTTCCTAGCCCCTAGGTAGAGCCTCTCCATCCAAGCAGGGACAGCTCTCGTGCTGTGCACAGTACGAGAAAGCCAGGAAGTGACTGAAGGGCTCTTCCTCCATGGCGGTTCCAAGACTTGAACACAGTTCTGGCTGACCTGGGGGGACCCGCAAGGTTAGCTCCTTCTCTTTCTCTCTTTAAGATATTCTACGCAATCAGGCTTTCCAAATTTAGGCACCAACCACCTTCCAAATTTCACCCCAATACAAATGTCGGGAATGGAAGCAAACATGCAACCTTCCCTTCGTCTCTGCACTCCCCCAATCTCAATTACACACAATTGAAAATAAAAATTGCACTGGCATACATTTTATAGTCTTAATGATACTGTTTGCGATAATAAACAAAATAATATATATGGCTAGAAAAGCACTGAGAGATGCCTCCAGATAAAAAGTTCCATATACATGAAGATAATGTTATCTCTGCTGCATAATCCTGAGGTCAAATTAGCAATTCACCACTGTACATCACACTTTTTGACTAGCCTATATGCAATGTCCACAAGTTTAATTATTCTAGTTTTACAATACTTTCTAAGTTTCTAAAAAATTGTAGCATAATTTACAAAAATGGCATGGAGTCCTTACTGCAATATACATTTTAAAAAATGTTAATGTCATTGAAAAACACACACACACATGCTCCTTTTGCTCAAGCAAGAAGCTGTAAATACCCTGGGCTTTTTACTAAAAATCTACACTTGAAATGGCAAATCGCTTCACCTAACGGCCTAATGGTGGCGAGGGGTGGCTGCAGCCAGTTCTCTACATTGAGAGCTTTAGAGGCCCTATTCCGCTCTGGGAAGCAGAGCCCTGATCCCTAAGCAGCGGGGCTGCACAGGCACCGTTCTTGCTTACGAGCACATTTCCTTAATGGGACTCATGCAGCACATCCCACAGGGGGAGGGCCATTACCACCTGAGTTACTGGAAATTAAAACAGGATGGGAGACAGACCCTTCTCTATTTTCACCTTTTTTGAAAAACAAAGCAAAACTGGGCCTAACATATAAATGGGAGAAACAGATATCACATTTTCTATGTCACAAGAGAACCTGAATAACAAACGAGTAAAGTACAAGATTTACGGTATTTACTTTTTTTCTTTTCGGTACCATCTCTGCAGGGCACAGTCAGACTGACTTAACCTGGTACTGAAGGCGGTGGCGGCCAGTGGCGTCACCCGTGCGGAGAGGGACACTGCTGGAAACCCCTCACAGGCCCCCTTTGTTCTGTCTGCAGGCCTCAACCGCAGCGCAGACAGTTGGAAGGTAATTAAAACTTAAAAGGTGCTGGGGAAGGCAGATAGGCAACAGACTGGCCAGCTCTGAGGACGATGAATGCTGTCCACATGAGCCCCGGTGTGACAGTCTGCTTCTAACACTCTCCTCCCTTCCCTGTGTTAGCTGTCTTCAAGTGGCTGACAGAGCCTGGATCCTGAACACAGTTCAGTACAAGATGTTTCAATTTCAATGGCTGTCGGAGCTGTGAGGCTCTCAGTGAAAGAGATTCTGTCTTCTTTAATACGATAAGGCCCAAGCCCTCCAAGGGTAGCTGACTAAAACTGAAAGGCACTGTAGTTTTGAAACAGTGGGGCTTTACGATCCAACAGAACCAACTTGTAGCCCAGCCCTGCCACTTAATTAGGAGTGTTAGTTGAGGGGAGGGAGGGATAAATTAAATAAAATAAAATTTTAAAACCTTTTTGAACCTTAGTTTTCTCTTCTATAAAATGAAGTTAATACAAACTTCACAGGACGTTTAAATGAGTTAGGTATTTGAAAGCATCTAAGGCAGTGCTTGGAAGAGTATGATATTATTAGATGGAAACTCAAAGAACAGACTGCTAGATGCAGAATTTCTTGGATTGGACTCTGAGCACACTGGCTGTGTGGGAGCGCATTCCTGAGTGTGGATGCATCGAGGAGGAAGCAGGACAAGAGGGCGACTTCAGCACCAGCAGGGTCTCGTCCTTCCTCATAGGGCACCAGTGCAGGCACTGCAGGCCACAGCGAGCAGCTACATTCAGAAAGTAGATTTCCTAGCTGGATCGTTTTCCTGCTTTGGTCTTACAGTCTTTAAAAACTATTCTTGACCTGTCTCAGCTATGTATGAGGAAGCAAGGGAAGAAATCTCCTGCCCGTATTAAGTTTGCAGTTTGAAGTCCTTCCCTGCCCTCCTAGGCATCCATCCTTGGCAGAAGCGAAACCCAGGCAGACTAGTCAGGGCCGTGAAGTACACTGGGCCACAAGCACTGGAAGGGGTCTTTCTGTCCAAACACTGGAAATTAAGAGTTTTAATTTATCAAGAAAAACAGGGTTTCCTTATAGACATCACAGAACTGTGGCCTAAAGACATTTTGCTTTGGAGCTTTCACTACATTCCCTACCTGCAGTGGAAAGGCACACATTTCTGTAATGAGTCCATCTTTGCACTGTTTCTTGTCAGGACGCTATCAGAGTTAATTTTTAAGTCACGTACATCTTTAACATACTAAAGAAATACAGAAAACGAGCTGCTACTTGTACATTTCTACTTTTAACTTCTGGTTCCTTTTAGTCCTTAGCTGTGGGGGACCACACATTTGCGTGGTAATAGTTAATCCTTAACCTTTGCTTCGGTTCTATACTGTTCGGTACTACGCACATTCTATGACAAGATAAAACTGAATTTAGTATGAAATATTTAAATGAGCTCTTCAGGGACCAACTAAAGCCAAATGCCATCAGAATTCTACCTCTTGGTAAACAGTTGCATTCTCAAACTGAACTTTATGCTCTTGGGTTAAACAAAGACACTGAAAACAGAAGTCAGTATAAGACTGGTATGCAAGAAAGGATCCTTAACATTATGGATCTTCTTCCAAGTAGTCGTGGAGAAAGCTAAGGAGAAAAACTGTTCTTTGCTGTGGCCAGAGACGTCACCCAAAGAGAACATCAGTTACAACATTTACTGGAGATTTAGGACCACTAGGGCTGCAATCACCATTTCCAAGTCTTCCTGTTTGACCTTTCCCTTCAAAGAGATACTGACAATGTATAGAAATAATTCTCTCAGCCAAGAAGCAGGTAATGTCTGTGGGTTTCGCCCGCATAATATCTCCTCCTAGTTCTGGGTATAATGTTAGTGCTCTTATAATCAAACCACAGGCTTGAGAAGGAGTAACTTCAAGTCTTGTTGC